TTACTTCCATTAAGCATTGGGTTGTTTTTTTGACACTGCTCTATAGTTTGGTCTGTCTTTGCCTAAGAGTTGTTTTTTTTTCAGCATGTCTAAATACTTTGATCTTGTTTTTACCTTCTTTAATATTGGGTTGTTCTTTGGTGCTGCCTTATTTGGTTTTGTTTCTTATAATTCTGAAAATGGAGTATATATTCATAAGTAGAAATACTCTTGACCAAATCATAGAAAAATATATAGATAATCTTCAAAAGCCAAACAAAAAAAAGCATTAATAAACCATGAGTTATTAAATAAAATAAAGACAATTTTGTTAAATCCACAAGATAATTCACTCTACAATAAAAACTTATGGTCTTGGGTTAAAAGCAAATTCATACTTGAAGAAATTTTGCCAGATGACTACAGAGTAATTGTTAAAGCCACAAACAATTCTGTATTAATAGTTGAAAAGTTCTATGATGTTTTATATCAAATTCATGGTAAAATAACTCAGCATGGCGGTCAAAAACAAATGTGAAACTTGGTCTGTAAAAGATAGGAATTTATTAAGCAAAAAATCGTGAAAAAGTTCGTAAACAATTGCATAGCATGTGCAGTAAAGAAGCCAGCGTTTTACTCTTTGGCAGCAAAACCTATAATTGCCAAGAATTTTTTGTCTAGAATACAGATGGATCTTATTGATTTATCCTACATTCCTGATGGAGAGTACAAATATGTATGCATATAAGAGACCATTTTACGAGGTTCTCTTGGGCCAAGTATCTTACATCAAAAAGACCAATTGAAGTTGTGTCTTTCCTCTTTGACCTTTTTCAGATGATCGGATTACCCCAACTATATTGCAGTCAATAATGGAAAAGAGTTTGTAGCACAAGTAATCAAAGAACAATCGCGCTATGGCCATCAGTAAAGATCATAAATGGGCACCCAAGACACCCCCAATTGCAAGGTTTGGTAGAATGCACGAATGGCATTTTAGAGCAAAAGCTAGGTAAATGGAGAGAAACTACTGGCCAAAATGATTGGTCATTCAGGTTGAGATTTGTAGTGGTTGCTATGAACAATTCATGGTGCAGGTCTCATAAAAAAACATCCTATGAATTGGTATATAGGAATAAGCCCTGTGGTAATTGTACTCTGGTAAATGAACTTTTTAATAATAATGTCTTCAACAAAGAGGAGATACCAGATACAATTGAAATCCCTGATGTTGATTATGAAGTAAGCCTGGATAACGATATAGCAGGTATTAAAATTAATCAAATTAATATAGTGCATTTATTTTTACAGAGTTTTATTTTTTTTTATTTTTTTTTACTAAATATTTTAGATTTTCCTCCTGACAACAGTAATGATTCAGAACTATTACTCGACAGTATTGTTAGCCCTGCATCTTCGCCCAGAGGCTCTGTGTTTTCACCCAGAAGTTTTGTATCATCATATGATTATAATAGTAGTTATACTGTGCTTTCTTTCAATAACTATATAATTATTTGTTGTGGATGCATATAAAAAAAAGTATTTATTGTGAGTGCATATGAAAAAAAGTATTTATTGTGGGTACATATTGAAAAGAATAAAAAAAAATAGAAAAGTTTATCTTATGGATGTAGTGTTAAAGGGATAACTATGACAATTATGTGCAGGGAAGGGCGCATAATAGGCTGGTATCATTTTCTAACAATAATGTTTTGTTTCTAATAACTGTGGTTTAGTATCTTTACCTAATAATCGTAGTTCTGTATCTTCGCCTAATAATTGTGGCTCTGTGTCTTCATCCAATAACTATGGTTTGATGTCTTCGTCCAATAACTGTAGTCTGGTGTCTTCACTCCAAAATTATGTGTCTTTACATAATAATAATAGTAGTTATACTGTGCTTTCTTTCAATAACTATATAATTATTCGTTGTGGGTGTATATGAAAAAAGTATTTATTGTGGATGCATATTGAAAAGAAAAAAAAATAGAAAGGCTTATCTTATAGACATAGTATTAAAAGAGACGACTGCGACAGTTATATGCGGGAAAGGAATGCATAATAAATTATAGTTGGTATCATTTTCTAACAATAATGTTTTGCTTCTGATAACTGTGGTTTAGTATCTTTGCCTAATGATCGTGGCTCTGTGTCTTCACCTAATAATGGTGGTCTGGTGTCTTTGCCTAATAATTGTGGTCTGGTGTCTTCGCCCCAAAATTATAGGTCTTTACATAATAATAATGGTAATTATACTGTGCTTTCTTTCAATAACTTTGATAATTATTCATTGTGGGTACATATAAAAAAAGTATTTATTGTGGGTGCATATTGAAAAAAAAAAAAATAGAAAGGCTTATTCTATGAACGTAGAATTAAAAGAGATGACTGCGACAATTATGCGTGGGGAAGGAGTGCATAATAAATCATAGCTAGTATCATTTTCTAACAATAATGTTTTGCTTTTGATAACTGTAGTTTAGTATCTTCACCTAATGATCGTGGTTCTGTATCTTTGCCTAATAATTGTGGCTCTGTGTCTTCACCTAATAATTGTGGTCTGGTGTCTTCGTCTAATAATTGTGGTCTGGTGTCTTCACCCCAAAATATGTCTTTACATAATAATAATAGTAGTTATACTGTCCTTTCTTTCAATAACTTTGATAATTATTCGTTGTGGGTGCATATAAAAAAAGTATTTAGTGTGGGTGCATATTGAAATGAAAAAAAATAGAAAGGCTTATCTTATGGACATAATATTAAAAGGAACAACTGTGACAATTATATACAGGGAAGTGGTGCATAATAAATCATAGCTGGTATTATTTTCTAACAATAATGTTTTGCCTCTGATAACTGTAGTTTAGTATCTTCGCCTAATGATCGTGGTTTTGTATCTTCGTCTAATAATTGTGGCTCTGTGTCTTCGCCTAATAATTGTGGTCAGGTGTCTTCACCTAATAATTGTGGTCTGGTGTCTTCACCCAAAATTATGTTTCTTTACATAATAATAATGGTAGTTATACTATGATAGTTATTTGTTGTGGGTGCATATGAAAAAATATTTATTGTGGGTGCATATTGAAAAGAAAAAAAATAGAAAGGCTTATCTTATGAATGTAGTATTAAAAGGGACAACTGCGACAATTGTGCACGAGGAAGGGCGCATAATAAATTATAGCTGGTATCATTTTCTAACAATAATGTTTGCTTCTAATAACTGTGGTTTAGTATTTTCACCTAATGATCGTAGTTCTGTGTCTTCGCCTAATAATGGTGGTCTGGTGTCTTCACCTAATAATTGTGGTCTGGTGTCTTCACCCCAAAATTATTTATCTTTACAAAATAATAATGTAGTTATACTGTGCTTTCTTTCAATAACTATGATAATTATTCGTTGTAGGTGCATATTGAAAAGAAAAAAAAATATAATAGGCTGGTATCAATAATAGTTTGCTTTTTCTAATAATTGTGGTTTAGTATCTTCACCCAATTACTGTGGCTCTGTGTCTTCGCTCAATAACTGTGGTTCTGTGTCTTTGCCTAATAATTATGGTTTTGCATCTTTGTCTAATAATTGTGGTCTAGTGTCTTCGCCCAATAACTATGGTCTGACGTTCTTCACCCAATAACTATGGTCTAATATCTACATCTATTAACTATGGTCTGCCTTCATACAGCAATAGTAATAGATTGCTTAAAATCTTTATATATTAATTTTATTGTTTTTAGAAGATATAATAGCTATTAAAATATTAAACCTAACCTAGCTCTTGCTGATATAACAAATAATCATACAAATTCTAAGCAGCATGAAATATTATGTGATACAGCATGGTGCAACCTTCAGAATTATACTGATAAAATATTGCATCAAATGTTAAAAAAAAGAAGGCTGTCGATTTTAAAGTTGGTGACTTTGTAAGAGCAAACATTCTTAGGATTGATCAATTTGGTATTGATCGTCCTACTTTACCTTGCAAAATTTTAGAGAAAATTGACGAAGATCGATATCGTTTGGGTTGTAAATTTGGTGTAATTAACATATGTTACACCTCAGATGAGCTTGAGGTGCTTGGAGCTACCACCTATCCTAAACTTAATAACATTCCCTCGAACCAATTATCTATGTGTGAAGCATTAATGCTCCAAAGTGTAGGGATGGTATCTAGTTCTATTTGTAACTGCAAGGGTAATTGTGATAGTAAAAAGTGTAAATATAAAAAACAAATGCGAAGTGTACAAGCCGTTGTCATAGTGGTCATTCTTGTTTAAACAAAGAATAATGCATATACTGTATGCTAGTTTATTTTTTTATTAATAAAATATGAATTTTAAAAATCACGAATAAAAATTTTAGTAATTAAACTCGTGATTTTAATAGTGCATTGGTTTACAACCTACATGTCTCAGATTACAACTGACACAAGTCAGATGACCAATCATCAGATGACATGCATCACTTTGAAATTGGCATCTGATATATGTCAGTTTAGATCTGCGCGACAATCGATCTGAGGCACAACATATATATACAACAATAGTGAATAAGCCCTATATAGCAGCATAAATTTAAGCAATCATGTAATAGTAAGATAGAATTTTTGAATTTCAGTATTACTTTTAATTGAGATTTGTTCATATTTTTATGGCACATTTTGTAGAAAATTATACCATTTATGCCATTGCATAAATGTACAAGCCTCTTATACTCTTGTTAATTATTTATTTTTAAACTTTCTAGCACTACTTTATTTGTGTATCTTATATTTATATATAATAATATTTCAATTTATTAATATTATTAATATCGACAGTCTATAATAATATTGACAGCCATAATAATTTAGACAGTTATAATAATTTAGACAGTCTATAATAATTTAGACAGTCTATAATAATATTGACAACCAAAAAAATTTAGACATATTACATTTTGAAATACTGTGGTGAAAATACTAAAAAATTTCGCCATACCGTCTGCCGTAAATCACCTCTATTTTAGACACCCATGTATACCTTTAATTATGTTCGTCTATAGTATCTACAGACATACTTTTATATGTAGCATAATCTAACATGCCTTTTAATTATGTTTATTAGTATTTATTAGTAGCGAATCCAAAATGCTATATTGTGTATATTTAGCATGTTCAAATATACCTTTTAATTATATTCGTCTATAGTAGCTATAAACATGCTTTATATATAGCATGTTTGAAGATACCTTTTTTTTTTTTTTAGAACCCCCTTATTGAGGGATGCCAGGAGGCGTACTTTATTTAAAACCACATAATACAAGGATTAATTTTATAATATAATATTTACATATTTACAATTAGACTCTTGAGCAGAGATTCCCTCACTTTACTATTGTTACCCATTTTAGCGCTAAGAGTTTTGATCTTTTTATTTATTCTGTTATTAACCACATGTGGAAGAATTGGTTGTGGAATAGGATTACCTCCCCATCTAGCCTGTGTATAACAATACAATACCAGATTTTATATATTGCAACATATGTATTCAAACTGCGTATTTTTTCTTTTTCTTATCTTTAATATTTGTTATTGTGAAGATTTTCTCTAAGGTGCTTGGTGAAGTTTCTGATTCGGCTCCTTTTAAATAACTATATGCAATTTTCTATACCATTTGGGCTGTCTTACAGTTAAGGCTAAAGTGTGTCAGAGTTTGGAGTTCCTCTGGGCACTCCAAACATTCTCCATTGTCATTTTGTATAATGTGTAATAATCGATATTCTAGGAGAAGAGCACCATGTTGGAGGCGCCAGAAAATATTCTTTCGTTTGTTGTCAACCCACTTAATGTTCATCCAGTTCTATTGTGATGTTTTAGCTTCTTCATTAATTGAGTTTTTCTGAGCAGCTGTGGGTTGAAGAAAACTTTCTCATAAGAATTCTACTACTTTTTGTATTTTAAATTCTATTCCTAAAACTCCTGTGAGTTTAATTTCCTTCAATCTCCATGGCCAGTTCTCTGAATCCAAGTTTATTACTCCTCTGGCTGCTTTTCATATATTTAAGTATTGTTTTTATCTATCTGGCCATGCTTTACTTTTGATAGGGATTCTATTAAGAGCAGTTTTTAGTGTGATATGCCTTTTGTTCCACAAAGCTGTCTCTATCTCTTCTCTTTCTGCTTTTGCTCAGCATACTTCACTTGTCAGTAATTTAAGCCAAATAGATAACAGTCTTGTGTCGAGCATATCAGTTAAAATTGGGGCTGCTAGGCCTCCATATTTTGGACTTTGCTGGAATATTAAGTATCTTGGCATCATCTTTGATTTGTTTTTGACCCAGTTCATTAATAAGTTATTAACTTCCAACAATTGTTTTCTATTAGAAGATGAGAGGTAGGCTGTATACCATATACAAGAGATAAGTAATGACTTGGCAATAATGATCCTGCCTTTGAATAACAGGTTTCGATTTGACATTTGCCTTATTAGTTCTTTAATATTCTTTAATAAACTTGGCCATGTTTTTCTGTCCAGATTTCCTGTGAAGTCTAATTTATAGCCCAGTACTTTAACCGATTCATCTTCTTGTAAGACTCTAAAATTTGCCATCTTCTCCAATTCTACTCTTCTCACATTTTGTGTTAAGGGAACTATAACTGATTTAGTTTTGTTGATTTTGGCATTTGATGCTGCTTCATATTTATGTACTAGTTCTACAAAGTCCTTCCACTCTGAGCCTGATGTAATTTTTACCGTTAAGTCATCTGCATATGCTGCTAATTTAAATCTTTGACATTGTATAGGAATTCATTTGAGCTTATAGTTTAGAGATCTCAAGAAAGGTTCAAAAGCAATTATGTAAAGAAGATGTGACAGTGGGTCACCCTGCTGCACTCCTCTTTGCACCCTAAATGGTTCTGACATAAGACCTGCATCCGTGATATAGGCTTTTTGTTCTGCTAGTAATGACTTGATTATGTGCACAAATGCTAGATTAAAGTTCATTTTTTTCAAGACATGCCACAAGTATTCATGGCTAACTTTGTCGAATGCTTTTCCTTGGTCCAGAAAGAGCAACCAAGATTGTTGGCATGGATATTTAGATTGATGTTTTATTGTTGTAACAATATTCATCGCTGCATCAATGATAGATCGACCTTTAATAAACTCCTGTTGGTATAGACTGATAATTTTGTACATATTTTGTTGAGTCTGTCTGCTAGTATTCTCATAAAAATTTTAATATTGCAGTTTATTAAAGCTATTGGTCTCTAGTTTCTAATATTATTCAGGTCTTTTGCTTTTTTAGAGATCAGTGTAATTATATTTTTACACCAAGAGTACGGCGTTTTCCCTGAACTGAATACATCATTAAATACTTTCTCTAAAGCAGCACTACACTCCTCTCTCATTTCTTTGTAGAATTTGTATGTGATTCTATCAGAGCCAGGACTCTTATTCCATGGAAAATTACTTGTGTAATCTACTCTTTTGTTATAACCTTTGTTAGCTCATAATTGTCTAGATCTAAAATTCTTGGAAAGCTTTCCATAAATTCTTCAGCCTCTTTACTATTTATTGGTTCTGGGCAGTATAATTCTTTGTATTGCTGTTTAATGTAGTATAAAATTTCTTTAGGGTTTATTACTTCAGGTTAATTTGGAATTCTAATAATTTCTGAAGCGGATGCAGCATAATGGGTTTTGTATCGGCTAAAGAAATATTTTGTAGATTTCTCACCACTTTCAATCCATTTAGCTTTTGACCAAATCTGCCATTTATTTGCCAATTCGGTAAGTTCGTCTTGCAACTTCCCTTTAAGTTTTTTCACTACTAATTGCAGGTCTAGTAGATTCTGATCTTCTGCTATTTTATTTTCTAACCTGGTAATCTTTTTATTTAATCTACGAATAATATTTTTTGAGCCTTGGGGAGTTCTGGTTGTTTTCAAGATTGATTGTAATTTATTTTTAAATAAGTCCCAACACCTCTGACCCTGTATGTTACCCAATTCTCTTGCTATCTCATTGTGTATTCATTTATTTTTTAAGCTTCTTGCATCTAGTCACCAGCAAACTGATCTACTTATATTTTTTCCAAATGTTAATTCACTTTCGACTAGCAGATGGTCAGAATTCCCAAATCTAGTGCAGGTTTTTTTGCAACATTGAGCATATTGTTCTTCGACAAAAATATAGTCAAGCCTTGTTGCAATAATATTATGTCCTTTGGTTTTTTGATAGAATGCAAGGAAGGGCCTTTGTATAGTCACTATTGCGGTGTCTATCATTCCTTCCATTATTGACTCTAGTTTTGCTTTGGTAGAGTCATTTTGTGGAGTTGTCTGGCTTATTCTGTTGATGTCAGGGTTTAAATTGGTATTAAAGTCACCTACAACGATATTGATTGCCCCTTCTTTCACTGTATATTTCTATGTATCTAAGAATCTTAATCTTTCTTCTATTGTTGAAGGTGCATATACATTTAACACCTGAAATTTATGCTGTTTGTAAGTAAATTGTATTTGAATAATTTTTCTATTCTGTGATACTATTACATTACTAAGCTTAATTTTATCCACACAGAATTATACATCCACTGCTTCTTAATAAACTTCTGGGTATTCATATCGTTTAGATTCGTCTCTTGCAATATAATTAAGTCCAACTTATAAGTCTTAAGTAAAGTTAGCATATTTTGATATTTAATATGATTGTTCAAGCCCTTTATATTAAGAGTAACTATTTTTATATTATTGTATCTTGTCATTGTTGTGATTTTGTATGAGAGATGTGTTTTTCTCTTTTTCTGTCCCTTTTATATGAGGTAGTCTGACGTGTATAAGTATCATTGGTTTTAATCTTATGTTTTTTGTATAAAACTGTTGTGAAACTATCATCATTCTTGTTTGAATCGAGAATAGTTTTATCAATAATGTCTAATTCTCTCTTATTTGTCATTTTTTTATCTTTATATTCTCCTTGAATATTTACAATGTTATTTTCTGGGTGCAATGTTAGTGTGTTAGGATTATTTTTCTGAGTGTTCTTATGAGAATCTTTAACCTCTAAGTCAGTATTATTTTCCTTTTCTAACATATTGACTAGATTTTCGTCTTCACTCATGCTTAAGTCAGTCAGTTCCTTTTCATTTATATTATCTTCTTGCATTGTATTGTTACTAACTTCGATATAGGGGTTATTAATACTTAATGGTATACTACTTGGAGTGTTGTTAATTATCTTTCGTTAATTTTCTTTCATTATTTTGTAATAAAGCTTAGTCTCGATTGCTTCTTTAAATTGCACACAGTCCTTCTTGATGTGTCCGGTCTGGTCACAGTAGAAACAGACTTTAGATACAGTTTTCCACTCTGTCAAGAATTTTTGCCCCCAGACACTAGTATGTCTTGGAATTCTTTGTTTGATTTCTGAGTCATTTGTTGTTTTATATACAATGATCTATTAGTTCGTACATATAGGGGTATCTTTGTACAGTAGAGGCCTTATAGACCTGATCATTCCAAAGTTTTCAAACACCTCTCTGATGTAGTTGGAGATTATCTCTTTTTTTCCCATTGGAATATTTCTCAACTTAACTGTTAAATTTGTTCTTCTCAAATTGACCGAAATATATCCAAGTATAGTTTGCCTAAACAGTGTTATCCCCTCTGCAGCATAGTAATTCTGTCTTTCTTCATTATCGAAAATTACCTCAAAGTAGGTTCTCCTTCCCTTAGTATAGTAGGGCTTAGCCGTCACAAAATCATTGCCAATCTTTTCATACATTGTAGAGATTATTTCATTGATTGGGATGTTTTCCAGGTTTTGTACATATATCGAAAATAACAGCATTGTCATTTTTGGTGGAAATATTCCCTTTTGGTAGTTGATTAGAGAAGGTTGCTTTGCTCTATCTCAGTGTTGCGAAAAGGTTCAACCACTTTTGAGTTTTAGGAGGTGTAATGCTTTCTGAATTCACTCCTTGTTTTGAATTATTTTCCAAGTTTGTTGAGTTTGAGTTATCATCTTTCTTTGCCGTAGTCTTAGCTTCTATTTTCGTTTGAGCCCAAATTGTATGATGTCTGTTCACATGATCTTTCAGGATTTTTTCTAGAACTTTCTCTGTTAATACCCGGTGAATTATTCGAACTAGTAGTATTTTTCTGCTCTTTTGAGTTTTCTGGCATTGTTGCCTCTGTTGAGTATATTCCTTTTTCTGTTTCATTGTGCCAGATGCTCTTAAGGTTCTCCACATTGCCTGGAACTTGTTTATCAAGTTGTGAGTAGTTTTCTTTTACCAGCAGAGGTATGTTCTCTTTCTCACTTTTAACATTCTTTTCCACAAAATTCGGTTTGTTTATTTTTTTCATTTTTTTCTGCCTTTCTCTGTTGCTTAACTCTTCTTTCTTTCTCTTTTTTGCCACAAGGGCCTTTGCTCCCATTGTTATGTTGTTGTTATTAATAGGCTCTGTTTTTTGTGTTATACTGTCATTGTTGTCCCGGAAAGAGAGAACGACGATCCTTGAAGATACCTTTTAATTGTGTTTGTCTATAGTAACATGCTTTATTTATAGTATATTTGCCATACCTTTTAATGTAGCATGTTCAAACATACCTTTAATTATGTTCATCTATAGTAGCTATAAATATACTGTATGTGTAGCATGTTAGACCATACCCTATAATTATGTTAGTCTATAGTAGTTATGAACATGCTTTGTACACTCCCTGACATAAATCATCAGATTTTTCAATTTCGGTGAAGATCATCCGTATGACCTCATTGTTTTTAAAATTTTTTTTTTATTGAAAATTACTATA